CAGCCTTGTGCGGGTAGAGTGTGCCCTGGCCCCAAACCTGCTCAGCCCCAGCCTTGTGAGGACAGAGTGTGCCCTGGCCCCAAACCCGCTCAGCCCTAGCCTTGTGCGGGTAGAGTGTGCCCTGGCCCCAAACCCGCTCAGCCCCAGCCTTGTGCGGGTAGAGTGTGCCCTGGCCCCAAACCCGCTCAGCCCCAGCCTTGTGAGGACAGAGTGTGCCCTGGCCCCAAACCCGCTCAGCCCCAGCCTTGTGAGGACAGAGTGTGCCCTGGCCCCAAACCTGCTCAGGCCCAGCCTTGTGCGGGTAGAGTGTGCCCTGGCCCCAAACCTGCTCAGGCCCAGCCTTGTGCGGGTAGAGTATGCACTGGCCCCAAACCGACTCAGGCCCAAACTTTGCTGGGATAGAGTACATTGGCCCCAAATCTGTTAGTTCTAGAATCTTGGACAGAATCCCACTTTAGCCTAAATTCTGCTTAGGCTCAACTCCACCTAAAGCCCAGGCCAACATGGTCTTGACCCTACTGGACCCAAAGCCTTTGGAGGCCAGACATTGTTAGAGCTTCATCAACCCCAAGGCCTGCTGGGCCCCAACCCCACTGTGCAGACGGAGACCGCTTGCTTCTTTCTCGAAACAGGCCGAGACATCATGGCGGCGGCCCAGCCCTCTGTCCCTTCTGAGCAGTTCACCAAAATCAAAGAGCTGGAGTCGGCGCTAGAGAAAGGCCTGGAGGAGGAGGAGGAAGATGGAGTGTGCAAAGTGAAGGATCCTCGGAGCCCTGGGGAGCTGGAGGCCAAGTGTACGCATGGGGCCCCCCAGGCCGGGGTCCCAGAAGAAGAGCTGGAGCTGGTGCCGGCCCCCTCGGGGGAGGAGAGCGAGAAGCGCATCCTGACCCTGGAGACGGTGCGCTTCACTTCCGACGACCAGGAGGTGCAGGACACCGGCTGGCTGCGGGCGCAGCCCCCGGAAGGGGTGCAGGTGATGCTGCAGCAGGCCAGTCCTGGGCTGCCGTCGCTGCTGTGGCTCAGCGAGGGGCCCCCGCCCCGCGTGCAGCCGTGCGTGGCCGTCAGCGTGCAAGAGGAGCTGTACGCCCTGCGAGAGCTGGAGGTGATGCAGTTTCACGTTCTGGAGGAGAATGTGGCCGTGGCCAGTGATGACAGTGAGCTGGTGGTGAGCCTGGCTGAAAGCACTGGATTGATTAAGGTACAGCTGGTTTTAACAAACTGACCTCGTATATGAATTAAAAAAAAAATAACTGTTTTTTTAAGTCGGCCTTTGTGCAGTATTAAGTTTCAAATTAAACACAGTAAAAGTACTTCCCAGGAAAATTTTTAGAGATCTTATAATTTTTTTATTCAAGAATTGTAGGCCGGGCGCGGTGGCTCACGCCTGTAATCCTAGCACTCTGGGAGGCCGAGGCGGGTGGATTGCTCGAGGTTAGGAGTTCAAAACCAGCCTGACAGGAAGAGATGGAGGGAAGAGGGCCCTGCAGGGGGCGCCTGGGGGGGACTGGGGGGAGGGAGGGGAGAGGGAGGAGGGTCCTGCAGGGGGCGCTCGCGGGACCTGGATGGGGGAGAGGTCTGGCGGAGGGAGATGAGCCCTGAAGCGGGCGCTGGGGATCTGGGGGGGAGGGGAAGGTTGAGGGGAGGCGCGGGGCGAGGGAGGACCCTGCAGGGGCGCTGGGGGACCTGGAGGGGAAGAGGTCTGGGGGAGGGGAGGGGAGGCCTGACAGCCGG